CTTGACATCGTTGATATACTAAAGCTTCTTTATCGCGATGAACAGAGCGGCAGACGATATCCGCCATATCAGATGAATTGTGACGTCATAATATCTACAATAGTTTTCAAGTCTAAAAATTCTAGCAACCCTATCGGTATTCTAGACTCTAGAGCTCATCTAGAAATACGTCCAGTAACCATCATCTGATGAACACCGCGAATAATAGATCTTTTCATCACAATTAGATAATTTTTTTTTGTTTCCTCACCATTTACAACCTCCATAAATATTGTGAACAACACAGCGCCTAGCCGCCACGCGCCGCGCGTGCGCCATATCCGAGCGGCCATGTTGAAAATTTTGACAGTTCGATGTGTGTCATTCGTTCACTCACATCTGTCAACACGGAACGATCTGTTCACAAACCACTTAATCTTTGACGTTCCTGATCACTTTCTTCGAGAGATGCACTGTGCACTTCACACATTTCATACTGTATCTATTCGGCTTACACCCTGTTAGTACCTGAAAATAAACAGAAAATATGTAAATATAATTTTGTAATGCAAAAAGAATTTATATCATTGTTTTTACGTATTATCCGTATATGTAATAGGAAAATCTGACTGATTGAAGTTCTAAAAGCATGTAATCTTCCACGAGATATGTTTATTTAACGTATGGTATCACCAAGATTTGTTTACAAATTTACTCATAATGAGGTAAACTAAAGGATGAAATTTTTATGATTTGTCTAATTTTTGAAGTTATAAATGTGGAAAAGGGTATCTAAGTTCATACTTAGTAAAGTTTACTCTTTTAATTTTTATTTTATAACGCTATTGAAAATTCAATTCCTAAAAACTCAAAAGGATTATGCACGCGATTAAGAAAAACACGGTTCATATAAAAGTTAACGCCACATTATATCTATAATTTAAGGTATATAGGTATACAAAGAAATTTTATAACGTTCTTAACGAACGTTTATTATTAAGAGCAGGACCCGGTTCAAAAACGGGAGCGTAACTGACATAAAAGTCAATAGAGGTCATGATCGAAATGTGCAGCAGGACCGAGATAGGATGGGATTGATATCGAGAACGAGACCGCCATCGGCATCACGATTGAATGTCACGGTACGGGATGGATCAGCATTCAAGGATCAAGGACAAGCGCTATGTCCACGAGGACATCTAATAAAATGGAGACCTGTATCGGCGTTTCCTTGTCTCCCAGCTGCGTCAGGTTTTTTTCTTTATCATTTCACTGCCATAAAGATTTTTTTTTATATCGAATTGAGGGACTTGATCCTTTGGCGCGCTGGTGTGACGCGTGTCACGGGCTCGCTGGGATGATGTTCAGTAAAACAATATAATCTACGTCATACCTAATGCGCAAGTCGGAATGTAAGCTTATATGAATATACAAATATATGAATGCGTGTTTACATATTTATGTTTCTTAAATAATTCTTCCCAAAGAGTTAGTAGATAATAAATAAGATACTGTGAAAATCCCTCAAAAAAATAAAGATGAAGATTTTTTAATGAACTTAATAAAGGAATTTTCTTATACAACAATCGATTACAAAAATATTACCTTAAAAACTTAGGGTTACTGATTTCAATACGAGATTTTTTAACTCTAGTATTAAAATTTTGGAATCTTATAAACAAAATTCCTATTATATAATAGACGTCCTATTCCTTTTAAAAAGGTCGGCCACGCACTCCGACTCCCCAGGCTTGCGAGTATCCATGGGCGGCGGTGATTACCTACTTCCTGGTGTTTCGCGTGCTGCTTGACTAGGTACATGGAACAAAAATATAGAAATAACTTGCAAGAAACATGAAGAGTCGCGGGACTAAATTATCTGTGTATCGCGGTGCTTCTGCTAATCGGCCCGTATGACCGCAAGGTGGAAGGGCCATGAGAGGTGGTGGGTTGTACCCTAGAATGCCAAAAAAATATATTGGCACTGGATTGTACTATTAAAAATAGCACTGCATAATTCAAACAACTCAGAATATACCAAAAATTTGTTAACTTTCGCTTATATAAGTATGTGTTCATATCGCATTTGGAGCTCAATAGCGGTGGTTATGCAACATAAATTCACATCCAGCAATTGCCACTACACTCATACTTCAAACGTAATATGCGGGTCGGTAATCTATGAGATTTATACGGGATCGATACCGGTATAGAAATAAACGTACAAGTTAATGTCATTCCGACATCGAGCGCATAATACGAGCCTCGTCGATTCTTTCCCGAGTCGACATATTTACAGAGAGAAGCCGTTACAACCGACCGCTACGTTGTGGGCATAGAGTAGTCGATTCACGCATGGCCTGCGCGCCCGCAGCCGGCATACTAATGCACGCCGGTCCACTTGGCGCACGCAACGGGAACGCCGACGGCCGGCCGAATGACGGAGCTGCGCCGGCTACTTTCCCCGGCAGGCGCGACGTTCCTGGTCACCCAACGATTTTGACCATCAGAAAGCATATCCATATAGTACGTATGGATTAAATTTCTTACATTGAAGTGATCAAGCTTCTCTATCATCTAGAACGATGTTAAAACAGTATAAGTAAGTTAAACTCCTTAATTTCAAATAATGAAGATTAAGAAAATGTGAACAGGCTACATTCTATATCAATAGAATTGACAAGTTTCTTAAGCAAGCCAAATTCACATTCCATAAGATAATTTAACTTTCTTAACCCTCTGACACCACTACAAATAGTATGTTCAAATTAATTCTACGTTCCTTAAGTAATGATGATTAAGAAACTGTGCGCAGGTTAAATTCCCTGCTACTAAAATTGACAAGGTCCTTGACCGCCTTAAACCACGTTAAAGTAGAATGAGTAAACGACATTATCAACCCATAAAGTGACCAAGGTTCTTGACCATCTTACAACAGCACAAAAAGTCTGAGTAAATCAAAGAGATTTAAATTAGACATAAATAACATAATTATAGAGAGGGGGCTGGCAATATTTCTGTACAAAAACTTCGACATCGCGCGTCGCTAACTGTCGCCGAGTCTCTATACTGCACGACTCGGTGCCTATTATAGGTCACAAAATCGCAAAGCGCGATATCAATTCATTGGAAATGTTGCCAATATCCACTTTATGACTACATTGTGTAAATCTCTTTGACCTATATACGAATATTATAAAAGGAGATTTACGTTTGTCCAGAAATTGTTACCTAGATATCGTTGTTGTATTTTTGTTGTAGAGATGTCAACAATCATCACCAGTTGTGACATCCTGAAATACAATGAAGGAATATCGCATTCCATGTGCATCAAGTAACCTAATAAGCCAATCTTCTCGATTAGACATTGTCACTCGAGTGAGATAGACAAATCAAAAGCTGACGGATGTAATCCCTCTGGTGGGACGTTCGTGAACCCGTGCAATTCTGGTTCGGGGCCTGCATCGGACGAATTCCCATTGCGTAACCATTTTGAGGTAGTGACCGTTTAATTATTCACACGCTGCCATTACATGCAAATGTCATCGATAACGGAACACCTTTTGGTATGTGTGTCAGCGTTGCGCGGGCGCACCTAACACGCCGTTAGAATTTGTGTTGATCGACGTAAGCGGCCACGTCGGCTGGTAAACATGTACAGGCGGAGAGAGAGTTAGGCGATGAGTTGTGTGTGTTTGTGACGATGTATATACTATGATTAAGTACGAGTACCTCGAGTGCCCAAGGTCCTGTACGATATAAAATCTAGAGTTTTGCCGCAACATACTTTAGAAGAGGCGATTTGATTACATAGACCACAGATCTCTTTTTTATAAATCTTCCAAAGTATCGTACTGAATCCACTTCTTATTAGCATTTAGTTCTTTTTATTGTTTTTAAGATATTCTCAGCCGATATTCTTCCCTGAGAAGATTCTGATAGATTAGGTCAGGTTAGGAATTCCATCAAGAAATAGTATTGGGATATTAAAATATTTTAAGGAATAAATAAATAGAAAAAAAATAGGAATTCGAAAAAATAAAAAAAAAATGTATTTTTTATTTAATTACTGACCACATTAATGTTGAGATATCATGAGACTAACACAGCAATGCATAAACTTCTACCGGATTGACAACATACGCGTTATTTATTGTTGACTTTCGTTATGAATTTAATTGACAACTGACGACAAACTAAAACAATGGTCATCCAATGATCAAGTGACTAGCTTCAAACTAGAACACATCTGATTCAAACTCTGACAAAAAAAAAAAGCGATCGAAGAGTTTACTACTTAAAAACCACTTGTCCCATCAATCCAAGAACAAGTACTGGTCTCGATCAAAGTTTACCGCACAGGTGACAACGGCCAGCTTAGCAGCGCGCAACCCTTTAGGGACCCCGCCGACCCAAAAGCGCCTCGTTCTAGTCGCTGACCTGATGCCTATTAGAAAATCGCATGACTTTGACCATCCTCAGTAAAGGTATTTTCGAACATACGAGATTCATCACAATACTTTCGTTCGCCGTCAAATCGAAATACTTTCTCGACAAGCACCATCACAGTGGTGGTGATAAGACCTCAATGGTCTAAACGGTGTAGGACCTACGCCGTGCGAAGGGCGTTGGTATGTTCCAATCGGATTGTGTTCCACCTTTTATTACCTACAGGAGACACCGCTATCTCAGTAATTACGATCAGTTTGAAACGACTCGTGACGTCTGAACGTTGAGTCGGCCTGCCGAAGTTATGAGAAGTGGAATTTTTCGCCGATTTTGCTATTAAAAATTATTCAGCTATAGAATGATAGCTAATTAGTTCTCAGAAACAAGTTAATGTGTGGTTGTTGTGGCAGGTTTTAAGGACCGCACAATCGCTCCAGCAATCTTTTATTACTTCATATTAAAGAGTTTGTACCTTTAACCCGGTCGAAAGATGCTAAGCATCGTCGTAACTAATGCGGTGATAACGTCCCGAGCCGACAGCTTAACGTACTCTTCGACGTACAGCGAATGGTTGAAATAATCGTGATTCGATTCCGAAACTTTTGATTTGAACACAACGCTCTTAACCACTGACCCATCACCCCAGAACGGTAACGATAATAGAATCAAACACATAAAACGATAAGCTCTGGTGAGTTCTTTGGTGTTGCGCGTGTCCATGGGTAGCGATGATCACCTAATATCTGGTAGCTCGCAAACCCGTCACGAGACATAAACATCACGAGATGGCCGGTCTTCTATTAGACATGAAAACCTGATACAGAACACAAGCCACCGCTGGTTGGCGGTGACCCAGCATCGCGCATCGCAGAAATCTAGGTGAGAGGCTCGTTTTGAGCAAAAACAATCAAATTGCTGAAACTAAAATGGCTGTAATATTATAGGGAACCGAAGAAGATTTATAATATGGCTGATAAATAAGCTCAGAATCAGTCAGCGGGCGACATAAAGAGATATGCTCAGAATTTTTTTGCGAAGTAAAATCCAGAATGAGATAATCGACAGAAAAACTAGAGTAACCGACGTAGCTCACAAAAGTTGGATAACGGGTAACCCAAGGCCATTAATCGTGGAAATCTGGAGGGGATTCCCCCTATCCGGTGATGGCCGTCAAATATTCGTCTACGTAAGCTAACCCAGTTTCATTATAAAACGCCTTATGATTCACGCGCCTCCACCTCGACGAGAGATTGCGCAACTTGGTGAAGTTACAGCGTCCGGTTGCAGCAACCGGCGCGTCGCCCCGGACGACGAGCGTGGTGACTGTACCTTCTTTTGTCACACGCCATATATTACGGAACTATTTGATATTTACAAAATAGAAAAAGATACGACTATACATTTAAAAAAAAAAGCAGTTACAGCGCTAAATGTTGGTGTAGACTTGCATAGAAATTGAAAAATATTATAGCAATAAAAATATATTACGACATACAGTCAAAGATAAAATTAACATAAGGCGATTTCATTTTAGAAAATTTTTATTATTTAATACGCGGATCTTTTCTACACATCGTATTTCAAAATGAAAACGTGTTTTGAATTCGAAAGAGAGGATATAATTTGTGTGATTATAAATCTATATAAATAATTAATAATCCGTTTGTATTTTTGGCTACGCTATTTTAGAATATATATATATTTATATCGAACCTATCCTAGTCCCGCTTTCGGTTCAGCTTTACACCCGATGCAGTTTCTGTTTTTGTTCTCATTTCCTCTCTCAATGTTTGTCCCACTTCCGACCCCTATTGCCGCCCTCGATCCCGATCCCACTCTCGCTTTCGATTCCGTTCCTATCATGATTTCTTTCAGGATTGTTTCCTCAATCGATCCCCATTTCCAAGCGTCGATAGTTTTGTAGTTCACAATTTATGTTTCTAGACAATAGGTATCACAACCGCACTGCGTGCGATCCGATGTTGACTGCTTCAATAATTATTTATCACGCAAAACAATGAAAATTACGACACAAAATAAGAAACGTCCTTTTGTTTTTTTTTCCTTTAAAACCTCAAACATCTCTAAAAACTCCCACATCGGATCCTTTCCGGAATCACTAAAAACATTAACCTCACGACCGTCCATTCACTGAAATACATCCGGCCGTGTAAATGACGAACAAGACTGCGAGAGGAAACATCATACTTGTCGAGAATTCAACGTACCCGCGTCAAAAATAAAAAAAATGTGAACAGCAATGGAACAAGCTACACTCGCGCGGTATGAGGGTGAAGTTAAAACGGCTTCACGTTTTGTTAACACTTGATTTCGCCTTCCATGTGATTTGCTTACCGCGGGCTAAATATGAAAATTGATTCTTGAGGAATCACCTCCAATAAATTAATCTCTCATACATATGCCATACATTATTTTGTACAATAAAAAAAATAAGCGTACATAGCATTTATAAAAAAAGTGGAATACAATGGTTATAAAAAAAAACATCTACAATATAAATTGTTGGCAAAGAAAGTAACAACGAGATTTTGAATCTTTTTTTTCGCCAGCAAGGGTGCTATACGGAATTCAAATTTAAAATAGATAAATATGTAAAGAAAACTATAATTTTCTTTCCTTTAAATGTTCCCGCGCATCAAGTGTCATCATGACAGATCGCGACACGGATATTTATTGCTGTTTAATTAAAGACAGTTAGTTTTTGCTAATAGAAAGCTTAGAACCGTAATTGTGATTTGTGAATCGACATTGTGATCAATAACATTAAATGTCGTTTCTTTTCTTACAGGTAAAGTTTTTGTTATTGTTTTATTGTTAATTGTTACGGTTTATGTATGTGAATCACAAATGTAACCTGATAGAATAAATCTTTTCTTACAGAGTAACTCAGTTGTGTTTTGGTTACTAAACGGTGTCGTCCATATCACCAGGGAGAGAAAATAATATCTTATAAATATATACATATATTAAGGACATTTTTTTCGTTTGTCTGGATATTATTTAAAAAAGTACTAAAATTATCGTATCGATATGGGATTTTGACCGTTAGACGTGGAATCGTTTGTGCTTAGATGATTTTCGGTTAATTATTCTAACAGTTTCATACACCCATCGCCGTTTCTTTTTTTTTTACTCCCGTAAATCATAAAGCTAGCATTAAATACGACCGCAGTAAAAGCAGAGCTCCACAGAATGATCACGCGCAGGCTCATAAGTTCACGCGAGGTACCTCTGTAACTGGATCGTCGTTAAGTGTCAATCAAGCAGATGATAAAAATTATAATGCCTCTCCCGATACACCCTTAAATACGCAATATCTCAAATTATTTATACTTTGTAACTAGAACCAAATGTTATTTCCCTATGAGATATTCATAGTACACTTTTATACCCTATAACTTAAATTTCACAAGCGGTTTAGTAAAATATGATGACCTCTCATTTGGGATTCCCCGAACTCATAGCAATAAAATACCAAAAAAAAAGGTTTGGTGCTTTTGTTCAATGTATTGTCTTTGTAACGTGCAATCGCAAAAAAACTTTCAAAGTAACAGAAATGTATACCTTACGTTTGTTTATATTTGAGCTCGTCGAGTCGAAAACTTATTAACTCGAAGTTTTTAGCAATTCCCTTGAAATTCTAATTATCTAGAAACCACTTTAGCTCACTTTGTGTCTATAAAATGGTAGGGCGTTAGATAGACACACTTTTGCTTTTAGGAGTAAGGACCACCGCGTACACTGCGCGGGCGCCGGGACCGGTTCCGCCTGGCTAGTATTAAGGTTGAAAGAACCTGTTAGGTCTTACAGACCGACTGACCTACAATCGTGTATACTTGGAAAAATCCGGCCAAGCGCGAGACGGACTCCATCACAGTGGGTTCCGCAAAATTTATTTGTGTTGTGTATTTACTGAAAAAATATGTTTTCTATTATTCAACTCGGAATACCGCGAGCTCAACACAAACTTGGTTGGGTATATATTATTTTTCTTTTCTTTACTTTGTTAAATGATCACACCAAGTTCGACGTTATTTTTAAGTTCGATGTTAGGTTAAAACATCCAACCACTTATATGACGACTAATATTTTCATTCATGTTACACATTTTGAGATAACCGCTATAATAACACAAATTCTTCGAAAATATCTACTCGCTACCTATAACACAAGCGGCATAGCTAGTGCCTTAAAGGTCTACCTGTTTGGCGATCTTTGGACACGGCACTTATTTGATACGACGCCCCCGTTTAATTGATGGATATCAGATGTGGTTGCAGATCAAAACATCACGGTTTCCCATAATCTTAAATCACGCGCAACTATTTGCACATTTGGCAACTATAAGGCCATTAAGGAAACACTTGTTGGAGTTTACTTTTTAAGAATCGATTTTCGTATATAGCCCGCGGTACGTCAATTAGATGGGGAGCAGAATCGAGTGTTAATAAAAAGCGAAGTCGTTACGTTGCCGATCCGCACAAATATTTGCGAAATTTGTACTGAACGCTTGTTTTCCTTCCATTGCTGAGTTATAGATGTTTTATTTGTAACGTGAATAAGTTAAAACTTCTATGTATATATATGATATTATACGTTATTGCCATTGTCATCGATCGTTTAATATGAGCTTGGGAGTTTCAAAATTTTATTTCGTAGCATGGTTTACTTATATAATACGTTTTATCAAATAAATACAAATATAAGTATATAAATGCTTTCATTATTATAAGATACTTATTCATTTACCCCCTTTATCTCATATATATATATATATATCGCACGGCATTCGATCTCAAGGAATAAACTTCAGTTAAACGACGGAGTTAACATTTTATTTTTAATTGTCCACAGCTCAAACAGAATTGCATTCGCGGCTGCAGTTTGTGATGCAATTATCATTGTATACATTTAAATACAATAAATAAAAATAAATTCACTACTCAGGTGGTTGATACTGGATTTGGGATAGATCGACATCGAATAAGATATATCTCAGGATTAGTAGAATAGTTCTGCGCCTGCGCCGAATTGCAGATGATTACGTAACCATCCTAATATTACACTAGTAAGGTAAGTCATCTAGAGATGTTTATCTATGTTATGAAGAGAGAAGTCCTGACGAATGGCAGACCGACTTATGAACCGGGGATGAATTTACCGGAATCAGAAATAAGAGGTATTTCTGAGGTATTACTTTTAGATGTACGGGATACAAGAAGATAGTGGTACTTTTCGCGATAGGTCTTTTTAGACACCCTCTTCGTAAAGTGATGAACTTAGGTGCAAAGTTATATGTACAAACTTGTATGAACAACAAGTACGTCGCTTTTTGAATTTAAGAAGCGAAAAATTTCATTACAACTTCCGCTCATCAATTCAAAACTACGTGTTTCTTTGTTTGTTTGTGGGAAAACAACTCTTAAATTGTTAAAATAAGAACGGAGCAGTATTTAGGTTTACATCTTAGTGTCATCATTTCTGTAATTAAAAAAAATATATTATAAAAAAATAGCACGCATTTCGGATAGAAATTAAAATTGCCATGTTCGAGGACTTTTGAAATATTTATTAAACCTTAAATGGAAAAACCGTCCAAGTGCGTCTCGGGCCACGCACAATG